ATAGCCCCATAAAAAAAGTACAAAGGTGTCAAATCAGACGAGCGGGCTGGCCATTCTGTAGTACCTCGACGGCCAATCCAACGACCGGGAAAAGTAGTATCCAAATAGTTTCATTTTGGAGTTATGAATTCTAACAAACCTGACAAACTCCGCCTAGTCTTTGATGTAACTGAAAAGTAAAATGGCACAAGTCTGAATAAAAATGGTCCAGATCTTCTTCAGTCCCTTGTATCCAATCTTTTGAAATTCAGAAAACGAAAATATATCGCAGCAAATAGCATTTTGCTGCGAAATTAGGAAAATGTTTCCCCAAGTACGAAACCGACAGTGTCGTGGAAATGGAAACAAAATTGTGGAGAGATGAAAACAAGGACAACGAATGCGAAATCTATGTAATGCAAGCTATAATATTTGGTGCGACATGCCACCAACATGTGCATCATTCATCAAGAACATCAACAGATGTCATCCACGGCCCTATTGGAAGCTATTATCAAAAAACATTACGTTAACTACTACCTTGATAACACAGATACTACCAAAGAAGCTATTGAGACAATCGTTGGAGTACAAAATGTTTAGAAGTTGGCAGACTTCAAATTGGATAACTGGATTTCAAACTCCAAAGAAGGCTTGTCATCACCATCCGTCCACAAGGAATATACGTCCATAGGACGTTTTTTCCTTAAAATGGGTCTAAGAATTACCTCCTTAAATATTAGCATGTGTTTAAGGAACACCCTGTATAGTCTATAGAAATATCATATTCGAAACGATAAATTACATTGCATTGCAATTTGTTTTTTTATAGAAATCATCTTGAAGACGGTACGATGAAAAAGTTGATTTTCTCACCTTGTGCAGCAGCGATAATAAATATTTGTTCTTCGGTGATGTTATTAAAAATCCATGGGAGTCTCTCTCGTATCGTATTGGTTTCAAAATAATGGGTACTGATTCGAAAAGCAGTGTAGTCAGCAATCATTTCATTAATGAAGTGCGATCCGTTAATGCTCTGTAAATGATGGAAAATTATTGAATGTTTCCATTCGTGGAAATTTATTCACTTGCCATGTAAGTGAAGAACTGAGTAGGTTATAATGAAAATGAAAAAAATCTTGAAATTTCAATCGAAACTATTTTTCAGTTAAAGAGCAAACGGTGAATATAACTTCATATTAACATTGTTTTTCTCATTTTCCAATTCGATAACTTTTTTTACAGCTAACAAGAAAATTTCATCATCAACAATTTTTTTATATGAATGCATCAAAGTGTATCAAAGAGATTTTCAAAATGAAATATTTGTTGCTAATTTTTTCATGTTTCTCTTATATCTCTCCTATTTTCTTCACACCGCAAGTACATTGGACTCTTCTTTCTTTTTTACATAAGAAATCTGAATTGCTTTGTACGTTGTAATTGAAAAGTTGAGTTTACCAGACATACGTAAACGATTTTATAAAACTTTCTATAGCATTCNTCTGACTGATCATTGATCATTTCAAATATTTTTTCAAATTTCCAAAATTTTGAATATTCTGAGATATTAAGACTAAAGCCCCATTTTTTTCCACTTAATTGTGTATAACTTTTGTAATTTTTATCGGCGCGTTTTCGGAACTTTCCTTAAACTTTCTAGGCAAAAATATGAATCGAATGACACCTTGGTCGTAATTTTTGGACAGGGCTGAAAAATGTCACCAAAAAGAGCTAAATCGAGTACATGTGAACCAGACTATGAAGGCGCCAACTCGATTGTTGATACGCGCGTCAAGAACAGTGTTGCAGTTCCGGTGTTTGGGATAAGTGCTTGCTTTGAAATTATTCTATGCCAGATGTTCCAGTTTTGATCATGATTTCTGATAATTTTTTTCAATGAGTTCAGTTATAACAGTAATTCAATATCATTTTGTTATTTGATATCCGAAATGAATTTATACTGAATCACATATTCTGATATTAGTGGTATTGAGTCAAACATGAGTTCCGTCTCCTCGAATAATCATAAACTTACCAAAAAATCAATAGATGTTCCATGAAAAGTATATGGTGTTTTCAAGTAATATTCATACAGAATTTTTTCTGTGTTAGAAATGATCATTGAGTAATAATCATTGCTCGAAGTAGAAACGTCACCTGTTCTGAATAATCTACCAATAGGATCAAAGTGCTTAGCTACTTCCTGGGCTAAGAGTAATCCAATTTTTGCTACTCCCAAATAATTGGAGAGATAGAAATATTGTTCATCATATAGTGGTGGGTGCCAAACTGAAATAGGAAAACGAATATTCATTACAGATCTCAGATTATTTGGCTGATAATTGTATATTGTGTGAAACACACATACTTTTTGCTGAAAATGAGTAGATTTGACTTTTATTATATAACTCAACAGTAACAAACATTCCTGGAGTTACTGAAGAGTAGTTGCTTCCTGTTTATTCGAGTAAAAAAAATATAGATTCCCTGACAAAAATTCATTAAATTCTCACCTACAAAGTTGCTGGGATAAAACGTCTTTGGTGTATTGGTAAATGGACCAACGAAAAAATTCAATCTGAAAAATATTGAAAATGATAATTCCGTAATGAAATTTGAGATTTAAATATCAGATCAACCTGCCATTCAGCTCGAATCTCTCAATCTATATGATAATATTCCACTTTTATGTCACTCTAAATGATTTGCAGTTCCATAATGATGATACTGAGCTCATTTTCTGCAGTAACACTATAATAACCGGAGGAATGAAGTCTTCTTTAAAACCATTGAAGACTTTGGCTTATCGAAGCACCTGAACTTCGCTTTCCTCAGATCGACTGGGCTGAAGTCGAAAAGTGAGGGTTTCATCAAGGCCTGTCAAAATGATGTTCCCAACACTAGGAGTAGGGCCTTCCGTGGGGTGCTTGAGACCCTGAAGCATTTGCTGCCGGCATGTTCAGTATATGTGGTATCATATAGACTAGTCTAGTTGAAAAAACCAGACATCACCAGAAGATGGCAAATGAGACTTTGCCGAAACGTTGCGAAAATAATCCTTATGGGGAGAAAATACACAGAACACGGAGCGTTACGGGGAGAATTTTTGGAAATGATACATATTAATAACGAAGAACATTCAATGAATAAACGAACTGATATTGATAGTCTTAGCAAAATTTACACGTACCTACTGAAGTTTGATAAAGAAAATAAAAGATATAGTAATTCGAGTATCATTCAGAATTTTCCCACTTGACATTCATTGTCAACCAAAAATTTTCATCAACTGTCATTATTTAATGTTTTTCTATCTGTTTTTGAACCTTTTTATATTTTATTCTCACGTTAGTTCTCCATATTTATATATTTTTTACAAGATATATAATCTTATTATTGTAGTTGTCCTGAGGAACCCTTATCTACCAGTCGAGATGATGGTAAACGACCAGATGGTATGCCTCTCATACCTTGGTAATACGGTATGGGACTTCACTTGCGTTGACAAGGACGTGGCTTCCCATCTAGCAGAAAGTTCGAAGTCTGTTGGAACTGCAGCATTGTCTGGCGAAAAGTTAAAACGAAATACCAAACTGTTGGTAATAGCTATCTGTTCCATACAGTAGCGGTTGAAACCTTTGGTGTTTATGGTCTGGAGTCTCTGTTATTGGTTCATGAACTAGAAAGGATATTAGGCCAAGCAACGAAAGATTGCCGTTCTATCTCTCTTNTATGAAAGAGAGGACATTGGCAGATCAAAATCTTCAAATTTTCGGGTTTTCCTGCAGCTGAAAAAGCAAATGCGCCACTGAAATCAAGCAAGCCGCCCCGGAGCGTCAATTAATGATTTTTGTTGTTTCTTCATGAGTTCATAATTTGTATTGCTTTTTTTAATATGAGTTCAATAAAAATATAGTAGGTTCATTTGGATATGAAGATGTCGTTCCTTCTGTTTCTTTCCTCAATACATTTTTCAGAAAATGTTTCGATACAATTCTCTTGAAAATCATCTTTGAAGTTAGCCTATAAAGCACTCGATAAAGCAACCATCGAAAAAGTCAGTATTGAGAGTCGCAAATAAGTAAAAATTTTGTCACGATTTATGCAAGCTAATTATATTAAACAGTATGGCAGCTTAGCACTGAATACATAGTAATTTTTTTGTAGAAGTTGATAAATTTGAGCTGATGGAAAAAATTAGACAAAAAATACGACAAATAAAATAATAGCAAAAGAGCATATCTTCGTTTACTGTTCCTAATATTGAATTTATGACTTACAATGTTTCCGCAGATGACTTGTTCCCCACAAAAGAAAATAATGTCCTTCTATAGTTTTTAAGAAGATTCTGGAGATTTGTCGTGTAGTTTTTCGTCACAACCAAGGACAGGTAATTATTATGTGTTCTGTTTCTGTCACCAGATCGTATTAAACCCAATTCCAGTTTACTCAGTTTCTTTTCGTATGAACTTTTTGTATCATCGTCTAAGGATGATTCACTGAGAAAATTTTTGAGAATATTTTTGACATCATCGAATATTTTCTTGAGATTGGATAATGAGTTATTTATTTGGAGTGAACCCTTCACGTCGTAAAGTATTACAGTTGTGACGTCAGGCATCAGCTGCTGGGAAAGATCCATGCAGAAAAGTGTTCTATCATTGTAGTGTCGAAGAAAGTGTGTATAAAACTGAAAACTTGAAAATTCTTGAAGTAATTCCACAAGACCCCTGTAAAATGATATTCAAATGAATTTATGGAATCGAATAAATTTCAGGAGACATGAAATGAAGTGACATATATTTCAAATTAGTAAATTACGCACCACGGATGAAAGTACTTTTTACTTGTGAGGGATGAAAAGTTAGATCCTTTCTTTGATTTAGCGTTTTTCAATCACATTTGAGCGGCTTTTCTATAGTTTGGTGTTTTGGACACTTACCATAGGTAGGGGATGAGCCACCTCGTCTACCTGATTTTATGCAATGGCCCAAACCAGCCGTACTTCATACACTAATACACTTCCTGTTTGGAATCGAGCGGCTGTTCCCAAACAGGTAGGAAGTTGCTTTGGTTAACTAGATGTTTGTTATAAACCAACTGAATGACAAATCAACGTATATTTTAAACATGTATTGAGTAAGAAATAAAAAACTGATATTGCAATAGCAAAACGAATGAAACAAAGAACATCAGGTGCATAGTAATTGCCTAAACATATAATGTTGGGGTAATCATCTGCTAAAATTAAAACGTGTTCGCTAACACTACCTTCGACCAATTTTACTACAAATAACAGGTTCGTCATTTTACTTAATTTTGACAACTCAGGGCAGAAACGATATCAATATATAATCATTGCTCTTCACAGCCCTGTATGCATAAGAGACATTAGTTGAGAGGTTTACCAATCATTTACAAGTGTTCATTACACTAAAATTTCAGAATATCGAAGTAAACAACAGGGAACATAATATCAATGAATCATTAACATCCAGACATAACAGTATCAATAAACAAATACACAATTTCAATACAATAAAAACCTTGACAATGGCACACACATAAAATATTGGATTTCACTACCATATCTGAGACTCTGCTCACCTGTACTTTATCATCAAATGTACAAAACCAAAATAAAGATAGCGCATAGCACAATTATTGCAAATGTAATTGAATAACCATCATTACGCAACCATAATACCTAATATATATGACACAATATACAAGATCAGCAATGATTTCTTCATAAACATTACACACAAATCATAGTACATATAACGTATAAACATAGACGAAAACAAGATATCACTGTATAAAACATTTACAATAAACATAGTATAGATATAACACACAACAACCATGATTCCAGTAACTTTTCAAGTCGTAAGCAACAAACTACAGACATTTATGCAAAATGGATTTTAGCGGAGGTTGTGACGACACCTTTTATTAATCATCGGAGATTGTAATTCCCGACATATAGACTCATTTCAACTTAAAGTCTATCCAAAATCCAAGATAGAGTAAAACAAAACAAAACCGAAGCGTGACGTTCACGTGATCGCCCAGTGTCAGATGGAAAGGGCAGCGTTCATTGGTGAATTCGCCTTCTTGGTACGAGTTCGGTACCAGCACAGGGTTGTAATCAGTCGTTTGCGTGTTTGTGTGGCGTGTTTTATAGTATATTGTTTAAAATTGTTTTCCAAGATGTCCAGTACAGACACTGATGATGACACTGTGAGCTATCCTTTGAGTCCAGCCAAGAAACGATCCAAAAAAAGACATTTGAGTGTTGAGATGAAATAAGTGATTTTAAATATGTTCAAGAAAGTCATGGAAGAAATTGAGACATCGACTGCCGACGAAGTCGTATCGAAAGTTTCCGATAAAATTGGAGTTTGTTGCGCTTCGATTTACAATGTTTTACGGGAATATAAACAAAATCATACATTTTCCAAACCGAATACAAATCAGAATCGTCAAACCATTATAAAATCAATGGATGATGCTGATAAACATGCATTCAGGAGGAAAGTGCATGAGTACTTTTTCAGAAATAAAATACCCACGATAGACAAAGTACTCACAGAAATAAATGAAGAGGTTTTATTGACAAGTTTTAAGCGGTCAACATTCCATAAACTATTGAAACATTCGAATTTTGTATGGAGAAAACGAGGGCGCAATAGTTTATTATTGGATCGAGATGAAATTGTGTTATGGAGGAGAGAGTATTTGACCAAAATTAGATATTATAGGGAACAACAGAGAACAATTTATTCATTGATGAAACCTAGGTTGAAGCTGGTCATACTACCCCTAAAGTATGGATCGATGAAACTGTGACCTCATCTAGGAGGGCCTTTCTAGATGGACTATCCACCGGATTAACAAATCCATCAGGTGAACTTATATTTATATTAAGACCTGCCTCAATCTCAATATATAAAAAGTAATCCTCGTATTTGTTTTATTCACTTACATACCTCTTCAAAATTTCAGGTAAAGAAAAACGGCTTATTATTTGTCACATCGGCAATGAAAATGGGTTTGTTGCTGGAGGGCTGTGGTGTTTCGAGTCGATGAAAACTGGAGATTATCACGAAGAAATGAACGGTGAATCTTTCGAACAGTGGTTTTCCAAAGTTCTACCCCATCTGGAGGATAATGGTGTGATTGTAATGGACAATGCACCTTATCATTCGCGACGGTTAGAGAAGATTCCTAAGTATGATATAGCATTTGCGATCAACAAGATGTTGGTTCTGAATACAACCCTGGCCAATTCTTGGGATTTTCAATATCACGTGCGTAGGGCATGTGAATGTTCACATCCACTCTATCTTGGATTTGAATTTGCTTTAGTTACTAAGAAAAGTTCCGTTTCTCCTTCAGAATGATACTCACATAAATAAAAAAGTGAAATATAATACTTCATCCTTCGGTTTCCGCAATAAATTTCAGTTAATTTCCTTTCTTCCGAATTCACCGATAACTCCTACTTGACTTATTACGACGACGCGGACTGTTTACCTTTATTCAACTTTACACGTACTTTCTTACGGTCGGTTCAATCTAAGTTCCGAGAATTTTCCGTTTTTTTTATTGTTTCGTGTGATGTGTGATGATGATGTGTGATGTGATTGTTTAGTTCGGTATTAACAATAGTAGTCATGGAATTTTATTTCCAACTGATTATATTTTTATACTAGTATTTTCACATTCACTGACGGGGTATCTTCCACTCAACGGTTCAACCTGGACTAATATTTCTGATTGATTTCGCATAAACTTTCACTGACGGAGTAGGTTTCAATCCGACTGGCCAAACTGGCCTGATTACATTTTTACTATTATTAACACTTTCACTGACGGAGATCACTTCAATTCGTCTGGCCAAACTAGACTGAATTAATGAAAATTCCGTTCTCATATTTATAGCACGAATAAAGATGCAATCGTTTAAACACCTGCAACTCGCAGCTGCGCGACTTTCTTTGTCTAATGCGGATTTCTGACCCTATTATTTATCGACCTTCTCCGGACCTACATACTTTAATCACGATGCTTGTCTTTCTGGTTTGTCACACACAGATTGAAAATTTAACTGTCCTCACGTTTATCAAGTTGTCATAGACAGTTTGATAAACAATTCGTCGCTAAGTTACCGAGAGGAAAAGTGAACTTTTCATTCTGCAGTGAGAAAAACAACTAAATCAACTTGATAAATTCAACAACATTGTTATGTGGACGAAATAGATGAAGAATCTTGAAAAATAATTGAAAAACTGGTGAAAATAAGAATAATGGAATTTTTGACCAGTAATGGGATATTCAGTGCACATCAGTATAGCTATCAGAATGTTAATAGTACAAGTGAAGCTATATCAACACTATTGCAATTGGTGTATAATGAAATCAACAACGTGGAAGCCACAGCAGTAGTGCTTTGTGACTTATCCAAAGCTTTTGACTGTGTCAATCACATTATATTGCTTCGGAAACTCATAAGCTATGATTTTAGGAACAACAGTTATATTTGGAAAGAGTTCATACCTTTCTGATAGAAAAAAATGTTTAAGAACGTCATCTAATTCGGACGTTGGAGAGATAAATTGTGGACTACCTCAAGTCTCTGTGTTAGTTCCTATACTGTTTCTGTTATGCATTAATGATTTGACCAATGTATCGATTATTTGCTGACGACACCACATTAGTGTGGCATGACAAGGACAAAAACAGATTGCATAACAAAATGTGACAAGACATGAAAAAAGTGAAGAATTGGTTTGACTCGAATCTACTATCATTGAATACCAGCAAAACAAATATATTAGCTTTCAAGTGTAATATACCTGATATCCCCCTAGACAATAACACAATAAAAAATAACTCCACTTTGAAATGTTTGGGACTTTATTTAGATGAAAATTTAAAATTCTTTCAGCATATTGCAAACATCAACAAAGAATTGTCATCAGGATGTTTCGCACTGAGAAATATTTTAAAGGAACTGGGGTTGGCTGCAGCGAACGTAGTGTACTATACCTTAATAGACTCTCATCTGAGGTATGGTATACCCTTTTAGGGTGTTTGCAGTAAACAACTTATGCAGTCGGTTTTTGTCTTGCAGAAAAGATCTATCAAGTACTTATGTAAAGCGAAATGGCGGGATTCATGTAAATCCCTTTTTAGAGAACATAGAATCCTAATGGTTATTTCAATATTTATATTGGAAACCGTATCAATTACACATAAAAATAGAGAGAACTATGAATCTACAGCTAAAGCCACATACCACACAAGGCGGTCAAATGACCTGAAACTACCAATTCCAAAAACATGTTTGGTTCAAAACTTGTTGATATATAATGGAATCAGGATATACAATAAACTTCCCAATGAAATCAAAGAGACTCTTTTCATCATATTCAGAAATGAATGTATAAAAATATTAAGTTGTAAAACCTATTATTATCTACAAGAATATTTTGACGATGCCCTGTAATTTAGAATGTGATGAAACTGCGATTGTACTGTGTGTGAAAAAAATATTTTTATTCTATATCCTACTTCTTGTTATGTAACAATTGCATATGTATCTATATATAGTTTACATTTTATTTTAATCATTTATATTTTATACATTTATACTTCACATTTCATTATATTGACACATTATTTGGATATTTACTTATGACATTGTGTTTGTAACAAGAATTTCATTCTTAAGTAATAAACATATTAACAATCAATCATGTTACTTAATTTTTCGCAAGCATTTTATGATTCCTTCACCAATAATTTGTTTTTCGGAAGTGATATTGAAGAGTTTTCTGTTTACTGAAATAATTACTAACCTTTCATCATAATTCTTCATATGTGAGAAAATTCCATTCATAAACTCTACATTATAAATTTCTACCAGTTCATTCCCCGTGAATGTTTTGGAAGCCAATCCTTCAAAAAATGTTTTCCATTCTATGACACCATACTTTTTGTTGAACATATTGATGGGTATACTGGCACATTTATCAGTGTTATTGATGTGTCGCATTGTCATACGCTACAAATTAAAATTGTTTTCAAAAACTTTGGGAAATCAAAAGATTTCTTTTTTGTTCGATTCATATTGGTTGATGATCAGAAAGTTATCCGTATCAAAAACCCGTTTCCCACGCCATAACAAAACAACTGTCTCCCAATACGCGTTTCGTCAGCAAGATAGTTATATAGAATAAGGATCATTGCTGTAAATGTCAAAAATTTTGTTTCTTCTATATTTGAAATGAGTTTATTCAGGTTCAACCACATGTGTATTTTTCTCAAGTCTGTTTGAACTTCTTCAAAAATTAAGGCAGTATCACCGGCATGACAGAAAAAATGAACCTTGAATCCATTTATGTTGGTGAGGTTATTCATGAATGGAAGGTACAGCATCGGTTTTAACATTGTTTTTTGGAGGACACCAATTTTGACTTCAGATATGCTACTCATTTCTATCTCAATTTCCACTCGTTGTATTCTATTTGTTGAATAACTGAAGAAGTTCGTATTGATTCGGCCGTTACTTGATGAATATCCATAGTAATTTCAAAAACTACATCTCACGATTTGATCACAAACTTTATTTGAAATATATATCACAACATGTTTCGCTAGCACAGTAGCTTTTTCAAGTATTCACTTGAAAAGTGAATACTTGAAGTGAATACTTGAAAATATTCACTTCAAGTGAATAGTTCAAGTTGTTTCTTACACTAATATTTATATACTACAAGTAACCATAATGGAGACTACCTTCAAAAAATCAATTAAACCTCTGTACCTGTTCAATTATGATCACCTGAAGCATATTACCTCACATCTACATCAATAATGATTCTTTCTTGGTTTTTAAGAAAACAAGTTCAATAATGGTGATCTATTCAAATCCATTTGGTCATTCATTAGAATGTTTGAATTTTTAAGTTTATTAATGTCCATTGCTTCCACATGATTCAGCTCCAAACCGTCATTTTCTATGTGCGAAATTTCGAACTCTTCGTTATAGATATGTTTTCCTTCTAGAAGATTATTTGAATATGTTGAATTTGTTTTCTTATTTACATAGCTCATATGATATTCCTGGATTCGATTCCTAAATGTTCTGCCAGTTTGACCAATATATACAGAAATAGTGGCTTCATTTTTGAGGAAACTAGGTATTGAAATTGCATATAAAACAAGTGATACGTTGAAAAAGTTAGTTAAAAATAATAAAGGCAAAACAAACAAATTCGGGAAATCAGGAGTATATAAATTGAAGAGTGGAACGTGTCCTAAGTTACCGGTCCTTCTTAAGATTCAAAGCTTTGATTCAGTCATCTAATTACCTAGCCATACGAGTGTGAATGGCCGGACGCTGAGCGAATAGCAGAATTCCTTGATTCAAGTGTTGTGGAACCGTCTTATTTCCCCCAAATTTTCTGATGATACCGTTCTTTCAACTTTATTGTTGAGTCAATGTTATTTTTCTACAATAACATTTTTGGTGACCGTATTGTTCGCCCATTGTTTTTGGAAGGCAAATTAACAGGACAAATGTATCTGGAGCTTCTGGAAGATACTATGAATCCCCTTCCCACTGATATTATTGAAAATGACCACAATTATCGGGAGGATCTGTCAATATTTCAACAAGATGGGACTCCTCCTCACTATGCTCTGCCTGTTTGGCAGTATTTAGATCATACTTTGTCGAATCTCTGGATTGGGAGGCGGAGCAATATTGAATGGCCACCACGATTACCAGGCCTTTCGCCGTTAGATTTTTTTCTGTGGGAACATTTGAATAGCAGAATTTAGTGTACTCCTCCTGCACATTTTGAGCATATGCTAACATGAGAATAAAGTAACTTTTTCTCTAAATTTAGTATGGTTCTTTCTAAGATTTGCAAGATTAGTACCCAAAACCTGTCAAGTTTTCGATGGCCCACCCTGTATAAGGGTAGTCTTTGCTAAACACTTAGGATATGGAGGTAGATATTTGAATGTAGCAGATTTCTATCATTTCGATAGTATATACTTTTAATCTTCAGCAAAAAAAGTGTTGAAAAATGATATCAAAATTTTGTGTTCACAAAAACTGTATAGCACAAGTCAGGAGACATTTACTACAACAATAAACGTCAAGACTCTTATTGATACAATAATAAATACGTATATTTTTCCATATATACTCACATTGTTGTTACTTTCACCAAGAGCAAATTGCATATCTTTTTGATATCGTTCAGCATATTTCATCATCAAATCATCTTTGCATTTCTCAAAATTTTCGTATGATTTCTCCATATTCACGCTTTTCGTGGATAGTGATTTTTCTAAATGTTCCTCACATTCATTTTCTACTTGCTGAATCACAGACCAATCTCTCAATTCCGTTTTCAAGGCATTTTTCCCTGGCGAACCTATCTGAAATAATAATATGAGTCAGTGACTGAAAAATGGTAATCGTTTAATATTTTGTGCCAATTTTATCCAAAAACTGAAAGAGTACGGTCCTGGACATGAATGAAAAATAATTTGATAGAAGACAATTCTGGAGAAAATGATGAATTCTCACAAAAACCTTTCGAAATGCTTCCATATCACTTCCACTATCACTTGCTTCACATAAGCGGAAGTAGACTAGAGGAAAAAAAGTGATCCAAATTATTTTTATTGACTTATCTTCTGATCACATACAAATCAGTAGCGTAAATATTCGCTTGGAATAGGGTCGCACAAGTCTTTAAGCAGGTTGATATCTTTGTCTCTCTCTCTCTCTCTCTCTCTCTCTCTCTCCAGAAAGATGTGGAGAAGAGGTATATCTGGAAGGATTTCNAACCGAGAAGTTAGATAGGGAAATAAAAGCACCTAAAGGCTGGTTTCCAACCAAAAGAGGTTAGATATCAACCTTGCTGAAGTGTCTAGCAGCTGGATTGAGGACCGTTTCCTTAAGAAACGGGGGTGGAAGGAAAGGGTCGCCAGGTCCAAACCTGCGGAAACAATTCCGTAAGGAGGGAGCTTGCGACCTGGGCACACAACCCGGGAGGGGGCATGGGGGGGTGATTTTCAACTAATTCGATTTCAGACGCCGAAGAGTGAACATCAAAGTGTAAAAGCTTGAAGTGTAACTTGAAGTGCAGTGCGAGGAAAAACTGGAATTACTAGAGAGGGAAAACCACAGGTTGCGCCAGCAAAAGGACGAACTGACAAGCCTAATAAAAAGCCAAATGAAAAAACTGAACGAAAGGCTGAATAATGTAGAAGAAAGTGTAGTCCAAAGAACACGGGCTAACACAGGACCATCTAGGGCACAATCTGGCACAAGGGCTGAATAATTCGAAAACCCAAATCAGCCCAAGGAAACCGAGGAGAAAGAAGAAATGCGCCTAAACAAGCGGCCACGTGGCCCGGACAGCGCATCAAACACTGACTCGGAGGATGACGGGAGGATGACGGGCAAGTCACGATGAAAACCCAAGCGAGGACATGGACACGCTACAGGAAACGGGCGCCATTGAACAAATAGTGCCAACCGTAGAAACTGAAACACCGACAGAGAGGCCAACCACTGAAGAAGTGGAAGCAACCCCAAAAGAAGTGGTACCAACCACAGAACCAGGAAAGCCACCACCAATAGTCCTACACGATATCAAAAAATGGAACGAGATATCAAAAGATCTCGAAGCAAAGAAAATTGGTTACAACAAAGCCAAATTAACGAGAGACGGGATATATTTAAATACAAACGATGAGGCGGAATGGCGTAAAGCCACCAGATTCCTGAAACATAAAAAATTGGACTTCCACACATACACCGTCAAAAGAGAAATACCGTTACACGCGGTTATCCGCGAAATCCCAGTGAATGTGGAGGCTGAAGACGTAGGAAACGACTTGACGAAACAAGGTTTCACGGTGCTTCAATGTCACCGTATGATATCAAGGCGGAACAGAAAGGTGCTGCTACTATTCCTTGTGAAAGTGCCCAAAAAGAAGAGAAGATATTCGCACCGAGAACGTGCGTAAACATAATAGTGCGGCCGGAGCCGCAAAGAACGAATAAGGGACTAGTGTCCCAATGTCACAGGTGTGACATTGGGACACTAGTGTCATTCAACGGCACGTTGCGTGAAGTGTGGTGAACACCACGGAAGTAGAGACTGCAGTCTCACGTACGGCAGAGAATCGGAATGGCCAGACACGCCAGACAACGCCTGGCACCTATTATAGAACGCAGAAGCAACATGGGGTTGCAAGTAAAGTTGCTGATGATCAAAACCGTTCTCATGCCCATAATACTGTATGCCTGCACTGCCTGGGGCGAGTGCGCACAGACATACAGAAAGAAGATACAATTGTTTATGAACGCCAGCGTAAGGGCCGCCGTAAACGCACCATATTATATACCAAACAGGTATACAGGGTGTTCCTTAAACACATGCTAATATTTAAGGAGGCAATTCTTATACCCATTTTAAGGAAAAAACGTTTTATGGACGTATGTCCTTAACGCCTTAACTTTTGAGATACAGGGTGGCAAAGTTTTCAAAAATAATCAGTTTTTTAATAATAACTGAGATTATTTTGTAGACATCTTTGGCATATTTGGTACATATGTTCCATGCCTCAAGGCGCATTTCCT